CGTTGGAAAGATTATCTACTCACATCTTTTCATTTCCAACTCAAGCAAAGTTCCATTCGTTCTTCAACAACTTCAAGCACTTCATCTACAAATCTTTTGTAACGAAGCAAGTTGGAGGAACCCCTGTTTTAACAGAAACTCTTCTTTCACAAGAAGGACGTCCAAGTAACTGGAGCAGTGAAGTGGTGATACTTCCGGGAAGCTCAGTGAAAAGACCAGTCTTAAAGGGAGCCAGGAAGTGCATCCCAGGAGACATCTACACTTGAAGAAGACGTGGAGAGCTTCTTAAGTGCTAGGACTAAGGCGTTGTAAACGTACGTTTTTACAAGCTTAGTGGAACCGTGGATTAGAGGAACGAGTTGTTCCTTGAACCACTATAAAAATCCCTAGTGTCATTTACTTACTGCACTTATTTATCGTTCTTATTTGAATTGTTTAACTCCAAAGACTTGGTCTCTATGTTCAGCAGAACGTGTCTTGTGAGTTAACAGAAGGCCTACTGCCTTTGCTTGTCTGAGGCTAATCTGACAGAACCCCTACCAGAACCCCATCCGCTGCGAGTCTGTTCTGCCAACAGAACAGGCTATTCTGTTAAATCTGGTAATTAGCTTGAAAAAGTCAAAAACCAATACAGTCTATTCACCCCCCCTCTAGACTGTATCCAGTACAACCGGGACCAACAGAGATTATTGTAAGAAGACCGCTAAAAGGTTGGATTATTAGTTTCCATTTTTCCTAATTTAATTTACTTTCTTTTTCAAAAAGTAGTTTAGAAAATCAATCAAAAGTTTTAATTTGGAAAGCTTCCAATAATTTGCGATAACCTGTGACTGGACTTAAAATCAAGAAACTCCTCCATTCCTCAAGCTAAGAGACACGATACTCTGGGGGAAACCGAAAGGTTAGACTCCGTTTTACTATAAAGCCGCGAAAGTGATTTATCAGCTGTCACCCAGTGGGTCCTCCTTCGGCCAGATGGCCCTCCATCGGCCACAAAGATGTCAACTCAGAACATGATCCAGAAGCCAGGAGAACCGGGTGTCTCCGTCGGCTGGGTCTTCGTCGGCTATGTCTCCGTCAGCCAGACCTTCATCGGCCACAGAAAGCTCACAGAGCCGGATTTCATACTTAGCCAATTTACATACTCTGTATTCGGCCCAATAGAGGCCCCATTGTAATCGGGCCTCCCAAGCCCAATATTTGGGAGCCCATCCCACATTTTCTCTATAAATACTCCCCTTGGGAGTAATTGTAGGGGTTGGAAAATCATTTATTACAGCATTCATTGCACTTCTCTCTCTAGCTCTCACTTCTCTCTAAGAGGTTATACTCTATCATTTGGTGCTCTCGTTGAGAGCTAGAACAATCAAGTTAGCATCCTTCATCGCTACCAAGCACAAGCTAACCGAAGATGGGAAGAGCAAGGTCAAACCGCAACTTCATCGGCAAGACGATCCTCGAGACTCAGGAGGGTCGTGAGCGCTCTGGTGACGCTACGGCCGAGAAGGCAGCGGAAGAGGGGATCTTCCAGGAGACAATTGACCCCGCAGCTGATCTTCGCAATCAGCTCAACGTCAACGCTCAAGACGCCCGTATCGGCCTTGAGAAGAAACGCATGGAAAAGGGGGATCATGCATCGGCCTTGCAGATCACTCCTGCTGTTGACCCTTAGCTGCAGGCCGCTGTATCGGCCATCATAGCCAGCCTGGCTCAGAACCCCACCATTCTCAGCGCACTCATGCCAAGGACGGGGGAGAACACTACTCCACCACCTCCACCGCCCCATCTGTAGCCATGAAGATAGACAACGTCGAAGGGGTTGAGGCCCAGTACACGTCGTCATCCCACTCCCACCCTACTTCCCCTCTTCGGGCTGGACCGACCCCAGCGCGTGGAAAAGCCTCGTCCTTCAATAGGCTAGGTGACACACGCCGTCTGCCGGAAAGCTCACCAAGGGAAAGCTTGGGGTCTATATCCCGGACAGTGGATCGGCCCTGCCTGGACAAAGGAAAGGGAAAGTTGCACGAGGGTGATGCACGTCACCAGATCAACACGGCTCACGCTACCCGCGTGCAAGCAATAGGCGCCACCATGGCCGCCAAGGACCCCCAGGATGAGGTCATCACCCAGCTCGAGCGGAGGCTTGCTCAGATGGAGGCCAAACAACTGGCCGCTACTCCCACGGGCAACTCATCCAGGGATCACGGCTTTAACGCCCTTCTGCACAAGGTTAGCGCCTTGGAAAGGGAGATCGCCGAGGGAATAGGGGACCCCATCATCCTGATCAGGACGCGAACTCCTTTCTCGGCCAGAATAACCGGCCCCCCATATGTAACACCCCTAAATTTCACGCCCAAAAATACATTTAAATAATGATTTATTTAAGAGAATTATCAACTTTATTTGAAAACATCAGAGAGATACAGCGGAAGTCTTAATAGGGAAACGGGTGTTACCGCCACATTCGGTCATCTCTTAACCGAATACACAGGCAACCCAAAGCATAACAACAAAAACTTATGTAATAATAATTAAATGTTTATTTCATGACTAAATTTGACTAAAGCAACTTCTAATTCGCTCTCAGGCGCATGCATTCAGCAATCAACATAACCATCATCACCTGCACAAATAAAGTGCAGAAACAAAGCAAAAGAAAGAAAACAAAAATTAGCTTTAGAGCTAAGTAAGTACTACCCAACTCCGTAAAATAATCATGTTTGACTAAAATAGATTTTTATATAATATTATATAAAAATAACGCACTCCACCAAAATTCTCTTCTCTTTGATTTTTCTCAAAATCACTTCTTTACTAAAACTCTCAACTTCTCTTCGAAAATATCATAGTAATTCATCTCTTTAAATTTCTTAAGAAAATCTCTTTTTCACTACCTTCCTAGTAATTTACAAGGGCGGTGCTCAACCTTTCGACTGAACAAGTGCCGGTACCACAACTGCTCTTGCGGAAACGTAACGACTACCTTAAGTGTGCACACCCCCTAAAAGGGATTCCAAGCCCTCCGAGTAGTAAGTCATCCCGAGTGGTCGGAACCCAACCACCCCACCTTTAAAATTCTTGAATGATTAGGGACTACTACTATAACTTCTTCTTAAAAGGTATCACCGATCCAATTATCACTCAAAACTTATCCTCACCCTTAGCAGTAGCAGGCCTTTTACGTCGGAACTACTACTACTACCACAACTCTCCTTCTTAAAAGGGATCATCGATCCAAAAGTTATTCAAACTGTACTTCTTAGTAGTAGCCGCTCTAATCACCCTCCACATTTATCCGGATGTGGAAAACCGACACCACGGATTTCTCCTGTGGTGCTCACTTTTTATGAAATCATTCTTTTATCTTGATTTAATATACTTCAAAATATTCCTCAATTTCTCAAACTGGCTCGAAAATATTTAAATAAAATATTTAATACCCAAAAGCACTTAGTTTCACTTCTCAAATATCACAGATCGAACAATCTCAAAATCTCATGCACATACATCATAACTCACATTAAAATCACGTATCACATAATACATATATAATACGAGGAAACGATTTTGGATTGGTAGAGAAACTTACCTTGATTCACGGTAAATCTTATTCGAAGCATTTATCTTGATCTTCTCCAAATTCACTTTCTAGAATATTAAAATTCTAAAATTAATATTTTTTTTATAAATTGAGATTAATTAGCCCACCTTAATATAACTTATTAAATTACCCGGTTATATCAAGTTTTTCTTATTTCACAAATCTGACTTTTCCATTATAATTTATTCATGATTATTTATTAAAATTCCACTCCAACATAATAATAAAATAGTCTTGTTCAACCCAAGGTTTTTTTAAACAATTGCGTTACTTACGTAGAGCACTAGTAAGGCATACACACGGAGCAACGGTAAGGCATACATATGGATCGTCTTCTTCGTTGTTTCAGCAGCGAAGAACCGGGGAGGAACTCCGGCCATGGCAGCAGCGCCCTCCAACGGATATGTCTTCCTGCAACGGTGTGGCGAACCGGCGACGCGTTCCAGCAGTTCCGTCCGAAACCAACAACGTTGTCTTCACTCGGCCAGTCAACTGTGACCAAGGTGGTTAAGAGTCGGCTAAAAAGTCGTCGTCTACCTCCGGCGATGCTCATCTTGCGGCAGCGTGAGGCAGCGAAGATGACGGCCCTTCTATTCTCTCCTTCGTTCTCCGGCGCGAAGACTAGTCCGGCGGCAACTCCGGCAAGCCATTTCTCCTCCGACAACATTCGGTTTTCTTCATCTATCTTTCTCTTTTACTCTCTCTTTGCAGCAGAATAATCGTATAGGTGTGTTTATATATATTTTCTACATACTAGTGGGTAGCTTATCAGTCCGGACTCGCAGCTCTAAATCTCCACGGCGGAACTGGCCCTCCTCTTTTCTCCTTCGCGACCCAGACCATCTCTGAGCCTCACCATTTTTCTCTCGTGAGTTTAGCTGGTATAGGGCGGCGAGTATATGTTTGTATATTTTTCAACTACGGAGTATATGTATATATATATAAGCATCAATCTGGGTTTAGGGTTTAGGTAATTGAGTTCTACCCTTCTACGCATATACAAAGTACGGAGCACGTGTACGTTTCTATATATGTGAACGTATATATGTACGTATGAGTACCTAGGAGTATTATCAATTAGTTTGAAAAGTCAACCTTTGTATAGTAAAGAATATAATTTGTTTATGTGTGTTATTTAGTATATAGATGTTTAAATATTATTGAATAATATTTTCTTGGAGTAATCTTTGTTGATAAGTAATTTTGTAACAATTTTATTTTATCAATAAAATTAATTATTTTATTTTAAACGAAACTTTTCACTTAAAATTTCGGGGTATTACATTCTACCCCTGTTAAAAGAATGCTTCGTACCCGAAGCATAAGTCTAATTTTTTTAGGAGTATTACTATTCAATTTTCACTCAATCACATGCATAGGAACAAATATGCAAATATGCCCTAGAGTTCTTCTCACTAATACACCTATCTCAGGCAACAATTAAGGTTCACATAATTTCACATAATTCTCTTGTCATCAAAATTAATCCAACATAAATAATAACAAATCAAGCATCCCATAGTCTCACCGCGATCCTATGCCTTAACTTTATTCCTAATTGGGTTCTTTAATCCTAATTAAAAAAATAATTAAGTCAATTGAAATAGTTTTTGAAAACCTAAAAAAAGATTTTGAAAAACAATGGTCTCTGATACCAATTTGTAACACCCCTAAATTTCCCGCCCAAAAATACATTTAAAAAATGATTTATTTAAAAGAATTATCAACTTTATTTGAAAACATCAGAGAGATACAGCGGAAGTCTTAATAGGAAAACGGGTGTTACCGCCACATTTAGTCATCTCTTAACCGAATGCACAGGCAACCCAAAGCATAACAACAAAAACTTATGTAATAATAATTAAATGTTTATTTCATGACTAGATTTGACTAAAGCAACTTCTAATTCGCTCTCAGATGCATGCATTCAGCAATCAACATAACCATCATCACCTGCACAAATAAAGTGCAGAAACAAAGCAAAAGAAAGAAAACAAAAATTAGCTTTAGAGCTAAGTAAGTACTACCCAACCCCGTAAAATAATCAGGTTTGACTAAAATAGATTTTTATATAATATTATATAAAAATAACGCACTCCACCAAAATTCTCTCCTCTTTGATTTTTCTCAAAATCACTTCTTTACTAAAACTCTCAACTTCTCTTCGAAAATATCATAGTAATTCATCTCTTTAAATTTCTTAAGAAAATCTCTTTTTCACTACCTTCCTAGTAATTTAGAAGGGCGGTGCTCAACCTTTCGACTGAGTCCGGTGGACCGTGGTTACGGACGGCCACCCCGAACAAGTGTCGGTACCACAACTGCTCTTGCGGAAACGAAACGACTACCTTAAGTGTGCACACCCCCTAAAAGGGATTCCAAGCCCTCCGAGTAGTAAGTCATCCCGAGTGGTCGGAACCCAACCACCCCATCTTTAAAATTCTTGAATCATTAGGAACTACTACTATAACTTCTTCTTAAAAGGTATCATCGATCCAATTATCACTCAAAACTTATCCTCACCCTTAGCAGTAGCAGGCCTTTTACGTCGGAACTACTACTACTACCACAACTCTCCTTCTTAAAAGGGATCATCGATCCGAAAGTTACTCAAACTGTACTTCTTAGTAGTAGCCGCTCTAATCACCCTCCACATTTATCCGGATGTGGAAAACCGACACCACGGATTTCTCCTGTGGTGCTCACTTTTTATGAAATCATTCTTTTATCTTGATTTAATATACTTCAAAATATTCCTCAATTTCTCAAACTGGCTCGAAAATATTTAAATAAAATATTTAATACCCAAAAGCACTTAGTTTCACTTCTCAAATATCACAGATCGAACAATCTCAAAATCTCATGCACATACATCATAACTCACATTAAAATCACGTATCACATAATACATATATAATACGAGGAAACGATTTTGGATTGGCAGAAAAACTTACCTTGATTCACGGTAAATCTTATTCGAAGCATTTATCTTGATCTTCTCCAAATTCACCTTCTAGAATATTAAAATTCTAAAATTAATAATTTATTTATAAATTGAGATTAGTTAGCCCACCTTAGTTTAACTTATTAAATTACCCGGTTATATCAAGTTTTTCTTATTTCACAAATCTGACTTTTTCATTATAATTTATTCATGATTATTTATTAAAATTCCACTCCAACATAATAATAAAATAGTCTTGTTCAACCCAAGGTTTTTTTTAAACAATTATGTTACTTACGTAGAGCACTAGTAAGGCATACACACGGAGCAGCGGTAAGGCATACATATGGATCGTCTTCTTCGTTGTTTCAGCAGCGAAGAACCGGGGAGGAACTCCGGCCATGGCAGCAGCGGCTCTCCAACGAATATGTCGTCTTGCAGCGGTGCAGCGAACCGGCGACGCGTTCCAGCAGTTCTGTACGAAACCAACAATGTCGTCTTCACTCGGCCAGTCAACTGTAACCAAGGTGGTTAAGAGTCGGCTAAAAACTCGTCGTCTACCTCCGGCGTTGCTCATCCTGCGGCAGCGTGAGGCAGCGAAGATGACGGCCCTTATATTCTCTCCTTCGTTCTACGGCGCGAAGACCAGTCCGGCGGCAACTCCGGCAAGCCATTTCTCCTCCGACAACATTCGGTTTTCTTCATCTATCTTTCTCTTTTACTCTCTCTTTGCAGCAGAATAATCGTATAGGTGTGTTTATATATATTTTCTACATACTAGTGGGTAGCAAATCAGTCCGGACTCGCAGCTCTAAATCTCCACGGCGGAACTGGCCCTCCTCTTTTCTCCTTCGCGACCCAGGCCATCTCTCAGCCTCGCCGTTTTTCTCTCGTGAGTTTAGCTGGTATAGGGCGGCGAGTATATGTTTGTAGGTTTTTCAACTACGGAGTATATGTGTATATATATATATATATATATAAGCATCAATCTGGGCTTAGGGTTTAGGTAATTGAGTTCTACCCTTCTACGCATATATGTGAACATATATATGTACGTATGAGTACCTAGGAGTAGTATCAATTAGTTTGAAAAGTCAACTTTTGTATAGTAAAGAATATAATTTGTTTATGTGTATTATTTAGGATATAGATGTTTAAATATTATTGAATAATATTTTCTTGGAGTAATCTTTGTTGATAAGTAATTTTGTAACAATTTTATTTTATCAATAAAATTAATTATTTTATTTTAAACGGAACTTTTCACTTAAAATTTCGGGGTATTACACCATACCCGAGAAATATCGAGGAAACGCCATCAAACCCTATGACGGTCGCACCGACCCTCAGGAGCACTTGAGCCGCTATCAGAATAACATGCTGATGGTGAACGCGTTGGACACGTACCTCTGCCGTTGGTTCCTCTCCACTCTCGAGGGACCAGCGTATGAATGGTTCAACGTGCTCCCGAAGAAAGAATAGACTCATGGCAGGATCTTGCCCAACGCTTCCTCACCCACTTTGTTGGAAGGAAGCGCGTGAAGAAATACTTCACCCATCTCCTCTGTCTCAAGCAGCGGCATGATGAATCACTCCGGTCTTTCATCGATCGGTAGACGAAGGAGAGTGACGAGGTCGTAGGAGCCGATGAGCGCACCCTCCTCGTCTTTTTTCAGGGCACTCTCCGGAGCACCCCATACGCGAGGAGCCTCATCACCGACCCGCTTAGGTCATACACAAAGGCACTCCAGCGAGGGAACCTGTACACTGACGCCGACGAGCTCCACAACCACAAGAAGGATGGAGGGAACCCCTCGAAGAAGATAAACTCTGCGCAAGCTCCTAGCGCACCCTCGGCCGGAGACCGAGGATGGGGAGGACAGAACGGGAAAGGGTCTGGCGGATAGAACAAGAAGGATCGCCCAAGGCGCCCGAGGATGGAAAGGTCAAGGACCCCCCTCAAACACTCAGTCAGCTCCATCCTCGACTACGCCGAAGAGCATGATCTCATTGTGAGGGATGCTCGCTCGACAAAGGAAATCTATGTCGTCCATCAGAGTGGCACCTACTGCCGTTACCACAAGAACACCTCCCACAACACTGACGACTGCATCACGCTGAAGAGAGCCATCGAGCGTCTGATTCGGCAAGGGGAACTCTCCCAATTTGTTAAAGGTGTCCCACGAAAAAATACTTGGGTAAACACCGGCAAAAATGGGGGGAAACCCTCGACGAAGAAACGCGAGATCGGTAGAATCAACGACGATGACGATGACTTCGAGGAGCCCCACCCGAAGAAGAACCACATCCACCTGATCGTGGGAGGCAACACTGGGGAGGACTCATCCACCCAGAGAAAGAAATGGGCCCAATCCCAGTATATTGGCGAGGTGTCCCACGCTCCCCCAGCCGAAGAAACAACGGACGGAGGCGATCACCTTCACCGACAAGGATCTGCCTCCAGGCCCCACATCACATAGGGATGCCCTCGTCATCCGATGTGAGATAGGCAACTCTATCATCCACCACACTTACATCGATACGGGGAGCTCCGTCAACGTCATGTACCTTGACACGTTCAAGCAACTGAAGTTGGACAACACACTACTTAAGCCGATCCGGACACCATTGTTCGGCTTTACCGGGGACTCTATCAATGCCGAGGGCATGATAGTCCTTCCCATGGAAGTCGGCGACGACTCCCATCGCACTAAGATTGACATAGAGTTCATGGTGGTCAACCTCGAGTGCGCCCACAACCTGATCTGGAGGCCATCATCTCCATGAAACACTTATGCTTGAAGTTCCCCACCAATAGCGGCATCGGCTACGCCAGGGGGAACCAGAGGATAACAAGGGCATGCTACCTCAAGCTAACGAAGTCGTTCGGAAACTCCGAGCAAAGGGTGGACACCATCACTATGACCATCGCCAAGGATGAAGAGAGGCCACATGCTGAGCCAATCGAGGACGTCGAGGAGGTCCCCTTACATGCCTCTCGGTCGGAGCGGGTCCTGAAAGTTGGGTGACAACTCCCACAGGACCAACGTGACAGCATCCTCATGGTCCTGCGATCATATGCCGTCATCTTTGCATGGGGACCGGAAGACATGCCAGGCATCAGCCGGAAGGTGGTCACCCACCGGCTGTCAGTTGATCCAGCCTCCACGCTAGTCAAGCAGAAGAGGCGCTACCTTTCATCCGAAAGACGGGACTTCATCAAGGGGGAGGTCACCATGCTCCTCTCCATCAGCCACATCAAAGAGGTGAAGTACCCAACATGGCTAGCTAACGTTGTCCTCGCCCAAAAGCCGCCGACATTCAAAATGTGCGTTGACTACACTGATATGAACAAGGTGTGTCCCATGGACCCGTTCCCTCTCCCCAACATTGATCAGTTGGTGGACGAGACGGCGGGCTACGAGTTGATGTCATTCCTAGATGCCTTCAGAGGGTACCACCAGATCTTCATGCACGAAGATGATGCCGAGAAGACGGCCTTCATGACCTCGGAGAGAATTTTTTGCTACCTCGTCATGGCCTTTGGGCTCAAAAATTCAGGCGCCACATACACCAGGATGGTGGCCAAGATTTTTAGAGCAGTCCTTGGTCGGACGATGGAGGCGTACGTCGACGAAATGATCGTTAAAAGCAAACAATCTACCATCCATGATGACGAGCTCCGGGAAATCTTTGAGATCATGAAGAAGTTCCAGCTCTGCCTCAACCCCAAGAAATGCATCTTTGGTGTCCAAGGAGGCAAATTCCTTGCTACATGGTCAACTGAAGGGGCATTGAGATAAATCCGGAGAAAATCCAGGCCATCACAAACATGGAGCCACCGCGCAACGTCAATGAAGTGCAACGGCTGACGGGGCGGCTTGCAGCCCTGAACCACTTCCTCTCCAAATCGGCCGTAAGATCTCTCCCTTTCTTCCAGATCATGCGCAAAGCCCATAGCTTCAAATGGACGGCGGAGTGCCAGCAAGCATTTGAGGAAATGAAGCAGTACCTTTCATCCCCTCCTGTGCTTTCCAAGCCAAAAGTTGGTGAAACTCTCTTCCTGTACTTAGGGGTGAACACATCAGCGATCAGCTCTGTGCTCATCCACGAGGACGAATGGGTACAAAAGGCCATCTTTTACGTCAGCAAAACGCTCAGGGAGGCCGAGCTCAGGTACTCCCCTATTGAGAAAACGTTGCTAGGCATCGTCCATACGGTGAAAAAATTGGGGCATTACTTGGAGGCCCATGTCGTCCACATCCTCACCCCGCAGCACCTCGGCGCACTCATGCGAAGCCCAACTAGTTCCTCAAGGATGGTGAAATGGGTGATCTTCCTAAGCCAATTTCATATTGAAATCAAGGGGAAAGCCTTAGCTGACTTCGTCACCGAGTGCACGGCAAGGGAGATAGCCACCGCCATACCCGGGTCAGAATCAGATGAAGCATGGACCCTATTCACTGATGGTTCATCAGCCGCACAGTCATGTAGAGGTGGCGTCATCCTCATCTCCCCTGAGGGATTCAGAGCTTACTATGTCATCCGCTTCAACTTCAGGGTGTCCAACAACGAAGTCGAATATGTGGCCCTCCTCATCGGCCTCAGACTCGCGGCCAGCCTCAAAGCGCGCCACATCAGAATCAAATGCGACTTCAAGCTGGTGGTTGGCCAGATCGAGGGCTCGTACTAGGCCAAGGAAGGGAGGATGAGGCAATACAGACAAGCGGCCGAAGAGTTACTTAAGGCATTTGAAACCGATGAGATAAACAGATCATGTTGGTCCCGGTTGTACTGGATACAGTCTAGAGGGGGGTGAATAGACTGTATTGGTTTTTAACTTTTTAAAGTTAAGTACCAGATTTTTACAGAATAGCCTATTCTGTTGACAGAACAGACTGGCAGCGGATAGGGTTCTGGTAGGGATTCTGTTCAATTAGCCTCAAAGAAGCAAAGGTAGTTGGCCTTCTGTTAACTCACAAAACACGTTCTGCTGAACACAGATACCAAGTCTTTGGAGTTAAACAGTTCTAACTAAGAACAATAAAATGAAAGCAGTAAGTAAAAGACACCAGGGATTTTTATAGTGGTTCAAGGAACAACTCGTTCCTCTAATCCACTGTTCCACTAAGCTTGTAAACACGTCCGTTTACAATGCCTTAGCCCTAGTACTTAAGAAGCTCTCCACGTCTTCTTCAAGCCTAGATGTCTCCTGGGATGCACTTCCTGGCTTCCTTTAAGACTGGTCCTTTCGCTGAGCTTCCCAGAAGTATCACCACTTCACTGCTCCAGTTACTTGGACGTCCTTCTCGTTAAAGAAGAGTTTCTAGATGAAACAGGGGTTTTCCAACTTGCTTCATTACAAAAGATTTGTAGATAAAGTGCTTGAAGTGTTGAAGAACGAATGGAACTTTGCTCTTGTTGGGGATATGAAGATATTAAAAGTCTGTCTTCCCAACGAGCGCCTTTCTTGTTGAAGATGAAGAAGTTTCGATCTCAAGAAGGCTTGTGCGTTTGAATGTTTTTGAAAGTGTTTTTCTTGAGCACTTGATTTTCAAAGTATTGGCAAAGTTGTAGCAAAGTTATCCGGTTGTTCTTCGTAGTGTATCTTTTATACTAGGGTTGTCTTCCCGTTGGAGGAGGAGCACAATGCATTTAATGCGCGTGCAGTGAGTTGACCGGTTGGACCCACAAATTCGGCGACTTGCTATTTTGAGAAGATATTCTTTCTTATTCTTGGTCAATCATTCGAATTAGAAGTGGTCACTCAATATTTTGAGAAGATATTCTCGTACGAATCTGCATTAAATGAGCATTTAATGCCTGTACTGTAGCTTTCCGTTGTAGTATTCTAGCCGTTAGAGGATCTTCCGTTGAAATAACCGGTTGAGATATAATTCTGAAAACTTCTAAGTGTCAGGCCTTCTGCTATTTTCAGCAGATAGTCAACTAGAAGGGGTCATGAGCACTTCTGTTGAAATGTAAGTCACCAAAGGGTCTTCAGTCCTTCTGTTAAGATAAGGGCCAACAGAGAACCTAAGTACTTCTGTTCTAGTGAAGTTCAACAGAGACTCAGGAGGACTTCTGTCAAGGAACAATCAGCAGAGGGCCAAAAGGGGCTTCTGTCTGGAGGTCTTCTGTCGGTCGATT